TTGCTGTATTTAGGACAGGGTCTTCAGGGTCTTGCTGTGTACATTGGACTCATAGTGATTCTCCTGTTTTCAGCCTCCCAAATGCTGGCATTACAGGCTCGTGCCACCACGCCCAGTCTCAATCACCCTTTCAGTGCACCCTGGGGGTGAGGCTGGCACAGCAGGCCAGGAATCAGACCTGGCCACTGAGCTCTACCTAAGCAGGAGCTTTAGTCCACTGAGCTATCAGGCCAGCCCCCGACTCTTTTATTAACCTCATGATTTCCATCATGCCATGCAAGCCTGGTACAAGCCTGGAGCATAAAGATCCGAGATCCTCTCCAGCCTCTTCCCTGTTCTGTGCTTTCCCATCTCGCGAGTAGTTCACACAGAGTGGGCCAGGGAAGATGCAGTACTAGTGCTGACTCTGTCCAGAAGCCTGATGTGTGTTCTTTTCTCTTCTGAGTCACCCTTGACAAATTGTCCATTGCAGGCCACCTCAGCATTAAATCTCTGAAGTTGAGTAGACTGTAGGGCTCAGGGTTTGGAAATACCCCCCTCCTTATTTTGTCCCCTGCTCTCATGGGCTTCAAAATGCTTGAAGCAGAAGTGTTTCAAAGTAATTAGCTAGGAGCACAAGGTACATTGGAAATCCATTGTGCAAACAAGCACCTGTTTTGATTTCTCTCCACTTTCCTTTGGGTATTAAACTTCCTTCTCACTAATGTTTGGTTTCTGGTAATAAATATGGCACAAGCCTCATGGGTTTATTTTAAGGATTAAATGTGAGAAATAATGGTTGCAAAGAGCTTGACAGTGCTCAGGGTAGTCAGCATTCAGGACAAATTGCAATTGTTTATAGAGAATTATTTGTATAAAGGAAATACTTGTTTATATTGTGGGAGAAAGGGCCAAGGGACTTTTTTTTTTTTTTACCATCTCTTACGGGAAATCATTTATCTTACCTACACCCAAGGCTGATGTGTGCCTGGGAAACTAGTGGCCGGTCTTACCTAAGCACCAATCCTGGACAGCCACATGGGTGGGAGATAGCCATAAAAAACACAGTCCACAGCAGGCTGCATTTCCATAGTCAGCTGGAGGAGGAGGGTTCTGGGTTCTCGCCCTGAGGTAAGTCCTGCTCTGCGGCCCAGCAAGCTTTTCTTGAATCTTGGGAAATTCACTCTCTTGACCCACTGCAAGTTCTAGGGTTGTTTGTTTTCGGGAACTTTCAGAATTCTAGCAAAAAACCCTGGGCCTTAGCCATTGTCAAATGCTCTTGCAATTTAGGCCCAGAGCAACCATAATTCCATCCACTGGCTGTCTGTGCCAAGCCTGCAGATGGCCCCTGCAAGCCTTCCCACCAGAAAGACAGTTGTCCATCTGGGGCCAAAAGTCCCACAATCACAGACCCATGCTCCCGACCCTGCCCCCTCGGGGTGTATCCATGACATCCCTTCTAGAAACAAACTATGCAGTGGAAGTCTCTCAGAGGATGCGAGCAGTCATCCTGAGAGCTGCTTTCTCAAGGAGTTTCCCAGAAGAGGACACTTTCCAGAAGAGTGTTATTTGAGTGTTTGCAGGCTTTTCAAACTCTTTTCTACCTACCCGCTTATTTATTTATTTATTTATTTATTTTTACATCTTTACTAAGCAGCTCTTGTGTGCCAGATCCTGTGCTAAGATCAAGGAGCACAAGGCTCAGTGTGATGTGGTTTCACCCTTACGGAAAGCTACAAGTGTAGAGGACCTTTTGGGAGCTCTTAGCAGGTCCTGCCACATAAAACAGAGGCAAGAAGTCACTACTTTGGTCTGCAGGCATTCACCAGTTCTCTACCTGTTCTCCTCCATCGATCTCTAGGCAGCTTTCACTTCAACTTGAACCGTGCCCATCCTGAGACCCCTCTAGGACATTCTGCAAGGCTGGCAGCTCTTGACCTTCTATCGACTTCATCTCCTTGTTAAGTTCCCTACTCCTATAATCCCACCCCATTTCTGCAAGTCACATCTGCTTTGCAACTATTTAGTACTTTGTGAAGGAAGCCACAGTTCTGTTTCTGAGAGCCTGACCATCAGCAAGCTGTTTAACTTCCAGTATGGTGCTTGCACATGGGAGAGATTTATTTCATATTGCCTGGATTTGTGTCTCCTGAATCTCAGATGCTTCATCTATAATAGAGGTCAATAACAACACCTGGCCTGTAGGATGGCTTGGAACCTTAGATGAGAGAAAGTATAGATGGAGCTTAGTGCAAATGGTGCCATACCGCAGGTGTGAACTGCTGTGGCCTCCTGTCTTGTCCCTGCGCGCAAAGTCTTCTCCCTCAACCTTACTTGGGCCTTCCTCTCCTGCAGCTGCATGGACAGTGTGCACACCACGGAGTGAACACACATGCCTCACCTTGCCGGAAGGATGGGGGCCTCTGATCTCCCATGGCTGACCTTGGCCTCTTGCATTCTGGTCTTGGCATTGACTGTACAAGGTGAGTACTCTGTTCACCCGGCATCACAGGTGGCTGGCAGGACCCGGGCAGTGAGCAGGGCAGTTCAGAAACAGCAGTTTGGGTCAGTGTTAAGAACAGATAGGTCTAAACCAAAGACTCAGAGTTGGTAGTCAAAGGGAAGATGATAAAAGGGAATCAAGTCACAGTGCTGCAGAGCTAAACAGGTAAGTTGCCTGGAAGGCAAGAGAGAGCCAGTCAGAAAAACTACCCGTGCCTCTGTCTGGGATGATCAGAAATCTGGGAAGGGGAAAATGACAAAATAAATCATCCATCATGCTGTGCTGGCAGTTTCTTCCTGTTATCACTTTGCTCATCTGCTAGACTTTTTGATGTCTCTGGGCTCTTCTAATAGGACTATTTCTGATTACTGATCTTCCTTTTATTTCTGAAAGGATTTCAGGAGGTGTGAAGTATGATAAGTAGAGATGTAAGGAAGGGAGGAAGGATAAAGCCAGCTGCTGGCCAGGCCTGCCTGCTTCACACCTGGCAGATGTTGAGCTCTCCGGAGACCCATCAGCATCTCATCTCCATACGAATCAGGCAACCGAACTACTTGTAGGAGGGGTCTCAGGTTCCCACAACAGAGAAGGCTTTGACAGAGAACTCAGCTCAGGATCTCTGATGGGAAAATACAGGGCACGCAGGAAATGATCCAAGAATAACAAATGCAGTGGTTTCTTTCCTTAAAACAAATACATGACTGAGAAAAGCTTGACTATCTCTTCTTTTAAGAAGCCCCTCTAACAGAAATCATAAGAATGAAAAACAACAGCATTTTAAGGAATATACTAATTTGTTTCATTCATACTTCTAGTTTTTCTTTGTTCATTGAAAAAGTGTTTTCTCCTTCTATTTGTTAGTTTCTTGTTTTGTAAGAGTTTTTTTTCTTTGCCTATGACTTACACTCAGCAGAACCTTTCAACCGTTCTTTCAAGATCCTGATACACAATATGTTAACTATTATTATTCTTTAATATGTATGAAATTTTGTTTTATTTTTTCATAGACATAGAATAGTGGTTTTTGTATTTTCTTTACTAATATAAATATTTGTTGTGTTATATTAAAATTAAAAAGGAAAAAAAGAGAATGCAAAAAAGTATGAGTCCATGTCTGTCCTGTCATGCGTTCATGTGCTAATCAGAGTACTCTGCAGAACAAAAACAAAAGCCAAGTGTGTGGGAAATACTTCCAAGAATCAGAAACTGAGATCCTACCTTATTAAAAAAAATCTTTGCAATTTTATTTAGTAAAAGTCAGTTGACATTTTGGCTTAGTCTTACAAGAACGTTTAAGAGACCGTTTGTAGAACAGGGCTCCTCTTAACGCTCACTGCTGTCCGCTGGCCTTTCTCAGGTCTTGGGGCTCGGTGGGTGGTGCTCCTGAGCACGACTGAGCCTTATGCTTGGCCTGCCGGGCTGCCTGAGTGAATCTCACAGTTCTCGGAACTTGCAGCACTCCCCCCCCCCCCCCCCGTGCTCGCAGTATGTTTGCCAGGTATTTGATGAGGTGCTATATTTGTGAAAAAATATGTAACTCAAAAATACTATTGGTATTAAATTCCAGATCCCACTGTGTAGTGAAACTTGCAGGGTTGTTGTAGTTTGGGAGTCATCTTCTGATTTCACTGTTGGCAGTTCTTAATCATCGCATGAATCGTCAATATTCAATGCCAGAAGTCCATGTGAACTTTAGGTCAAGTGGCAGCAATTGCCTGTTTGAAGATGACATAAAAAAAATAATTAGGGTAGGGTTTTGAGTACCCTAAAGGGAAACTCTCCCATTTACTAATTTACCTTGTTTAGGAGTCACCATGTTTTCTTCAATGTTAGTGATCAAGATAATTTAATGTGGCCATCTTATATACATTAGGGATGTGTAATTATGGATTTTTGCTTAAAGGCTTTTGCTGTTGTGGAAATGTTCTTTTCAATGTATTTATTTATTTATTTATTTGGTACAGGGTCCCACTACACAGCTTGGACTCACAGTGGTTCTCTTGTGTCAGCCTCTGCAGCACTGGGATTACAGGCGTGCACCACCATTCCTGGACTCTGGCTGGCTCAGCCTGCCCTGGGGGGTGCTGGGGTTGGAACTGTAGTCCTTGTACTTGCCTAGGCTTACTAAACAGGCACTTTAATCCACTGAGTTATCTTGCCCATCCTCGAAACTTTTATAGGTAAAGAGATGCAACTGAGACCATACTCATAAGTTAAATAAATCAGATTCACTTGTGTAAACATCATATTATCTCCCTGGCATGAAAAATTAGAAGAGTAAATAAGGTCTAATAGATATTGTGAAATGGCAAAAAATTATTTAAAAGGAAAAGGTACTAGGATGGGAAAAGGGAAAAGGAAGGAAGAAAAAGGAGAAAAATGAAAGTTATACTATTAATATCTCTCAGTTCATAGAAAAGGAAGCTTTGCGTTAATATCGATTGAGAAGTATTTTTGGCCCATGTCTTTTACTCTCAGTAACTACTTTTAAAGTAACAATATGCATTGTATTAACTATTATTACTCTCCTTTTATCTTGCCATGAAATTTTGTTTTACCTTTTTTTTTCATGTATTTGGTACAGGGTCTCACTAAGCAGCTCAGACTTGTAGTAATCCTCCTGTTGTCAGTCTCCCCAGCACTGGGATTATGGGTGTGCTCCACCATGCCCAGTTTTGTTGGTCAGCTCAGGGTGCCCAGGGGTGGGGCCAGTACAACATGTGGTGCTGGGGATCAAACCCTGGTCCCTGTGCTTGCCTAAGCAGGTACTTAGTCCACTGAGCTATCTCACCAGTCCCTTTTTTTCTTCTCTATAATTGTTTTGTTAAAAGAAAGAATAAAGGAAACAAAAAACTGTACAGTTTTAGGAATACCTTGGTGGTATGATGGACTCCCAATTTCATCATTTGTGGGGCTGATGTTGGCACTATGACACATTTCATTTTTACTTTTTTCATTTTGAATATTTCAGGTTCCTTTCCAGTGAGTCTGCAATTATGATTCTGAGAAAAACAAATATTGTGTGGCAAGCCCTACAAGAAAACTCTCTGTAACTCTGGGTGGGACAGGACAGTAGCCCAAATGCCCTTAAAGTACCACCCTAAGTTCTCTCTGATTATTCTGACCCCAAAGTAATGATGTTTGAGTGTCATTTATAGAGTGTGTATTTTTTTTGCCTCACCAGGGATCCTTAGCACATGGAAAGGGGGAGTGTAAGGAGGGAATTAAAATCCGGTCGACTCTGAAGTTGCTTAGCAATACCAAGCATGTTCTGTCCATTTCCCAGGTTACACAAACACCACAGAGGCCAGTCCCTATGGGCAAGATCTGGTCTGTGGAAACCCTGGAACCCCAGAAGCTGAGATCTGTTTTGATCCCTGCCAGAATCACACCATTCTGGATGATCCCTCCCGAAGCACAGAGAACACAGAAGGTGTCAAGATGTGTGACAAAAACTTGAGCGGCTGGTACCGCTTTGTGGGTGAAGGAGGAGAGAGGATGTCTGAGAGTTGCGTCCCAGTGTACCGATGCCAGACAGATGCCCCCATGTGGTTGAATGGAGTCCACCCCCTTCTGGGTGAGGGCATTGTCCAGCGCACTGCTTGTGCCCACTGGAGTGGAAGTTGCTGTTTCTGGAGCACCAACGTGCTGGTGAAGGCCTGCCAGGGTGGGTACCACGTGTACAGGCTGGAATCCACCCCGACGTGCACGCTGAGATACTGCACAGGTGAGCAGTGCCTGCATGCTGGGCAACTGATGGGAGGCCTGGGGCTCCCAGGGAGAGGAGAGCTGGTTAACAGGAGACCAGGCAGCTGCAGCAGCTTCCACTCAGCTCCTGCCAACACTCACCCAACAGGAGAGTATCCTACAGGTACCAGCCCTTCCAACATTTTGCATCAAGCCAGAAATTATGATTCAAGAGTAAAATCTCCTGATTTGTGCAAACAGCATATCAAGAACTCAGACTCGTTCAGATTTTGTTTTCATTGGAGCACTTCAATTTATCTCTCAGAGCCTCAGATTTTTGATCTGAGAAACTGGATAATAGCAAAGTAATAGCCAAACCGTAGCATTCTCAACTCATTACTGCTATCCTAATCACATTAAGTGTGTCAACACGTAACCATTCCTCCCAGTAGTTCCATTAAGTGCTCAGTTACCTGGACGAGGGGTCTGGTACCCTAGTACTATGTACCTCTCCCCGTATCACAGAGCTGCCATTGGAACCCAAGCTTGCTAGTCAGGCATCCATGGGCTCGGCTACCATGCTGCACTGTCTCACAGTGTCACCATGAGGAACAAGTGAGCCAACACATGGAAAGCAGCCGTGCCTTCCTGGCCAGTAGGAAGTGGTTTGATGGCAGTTTCAGCTGCCCAACCATACAACTGGATTGAGGATCAGGAACTTTACAAATCTCACATTGTTAACAAGACTCAAGTGTGCTGCTGGAATGAGAGGCTGGACTTGGGGGCCTCAGATCTACCCTGCACTGCATCCTTATCCTTTTGTACTGTTCTTCATCTCCTAGATCCATCTACCACGCAGAACAGGTGTGAGAATGCCTGCCGTCCTGAGGAAGAGTGTCGTGTTGAAGATGGAGTCTGGGGCTGTTTCTGCAGACAGAACCTCACTGGCTCTGGTGAGCAGCTCCTGGGGTCGGTGGTTGCTGTGCTGGGTGGGCAGGGAAGGAGGAGGGAGCTTGGGAGGGCCAGGAAAAGGTGTGAGTCAGAGTCGGGGGTGTGGAGTGAAGTAGCAGGGAAACTCTGGGGTCTGCTGTATCTTTGTTTTATGGTGAAGGGATCTGTAAGGGTGAGAGGCCAGGGCTGGATGAAATTTCAGGACTATAAGCTCAAGAACTGGTTCTAGCACGGGCAAACTTGACCTAGAAGGAACAACGGTATTGAAGACAAGAACTCTAGATGTGTGGGAGTTACACAAATGCCTAGAGTCTCCATGTTTGGGAAAAGGGCAGAGTCCTGGGCAGAACTTGGATAGTAGGTGCTCAAGAAATATCTGTGGAATGAACAAACGAATGAATGAATGAACAAATGAATGAAAAAATGAATGAATGAATCCTGTGGCTCTGAATCTGGTCAGGCGTGCTGGTTTTACAAAGTAGAGTGTATCTAGCTTTGATGCTAGTTTGGAATGCAGAATCATTTTACTTCTTCAAAGATCCTAATTCCTAAGGGCAACTCAGCCAAGCCTGCACAAAGGATGCTTGGAAATCTCAGACCAGAAGGCTTTTGCCAGACTGAGTGTGAATGCCATCTGGGTCCCAGGATCCTTCTAGGCTCCTCGTGAGCATGGTGACTTTTGCTCACAGCTTTTGGATCTCTGTCCACTAGACTAAGCTCCCTCTTGGCTTTACAGATATTCAAAATTTGCAGCCTCAGTTGGACTGTGGGGCCAGTGAGATCAAGGTGAAGATGGACAAGTGTTTGCTGGGAAGCCTGGGTTTTGGGGAGGAGGTGTTGGCCTACCTGAATGATCACAACTGTAGCAGCATCTTGGAAAGAGAGGATGGCAACTGGATATCTGTGACCAGCCCTGTCCAGGCTAATGCCTGTGGGAACATTCTGGAGGTAAATTGGTTTACTCAGACTGATGTGACCCATTTTATTAACTATGAGATTTTGGGCAAGTCACTTAGCCTTTCTGAGCTCTCTAGGTTATGTGAGGTCATACATCTTGGTCCACATAAAGAGCTTAGAACACTTGAACTTAGTCAATATTAGTGGCAATTATGATTGCTTTAAGTAAGGATGGCCTGGAACAGGTACACTCAGCTTCATTCATGTTGGTTCTGATGCTCCTCAGCACTAGCAGTCTAGGCTCCTCATTCCCCCTTCACATAAAGTGTCAGCGTCACAAGAAAAGGAGGAAGCCGGCCCTTTACTTTCTTGAGGTCAGAGGGCAGGGTAGCTACATGGCTGATAAGACTGACTTTGGAATCAGATGGATCTGAGATAAAGATAGACCTATACATATCCGTGTAAATGTACATGTAATTTCATTTTTATCCCAAAGAAAAATGGAACCCATGCCACCTACAAAAACACACTCTCTTTGGCCAATGATTTCATCATCAGAGATCTGCTCATTAACATCAATTTCCAGTGTGCCTACCCCCTGGACATGAAGGTCAGCCTCGAGACTGCACTTCACCCCATTATAAGGTATGGCATTGACTCTTGCCCTTTGACCCATAACCTTGACTTTTGAAACACTCACTCTGGTATAGTTTATTATGTAAATGCAATTCTAGCAACACTTTTTAGGAATTTGCATTCATTCAATCATTCATTCCACAAATATTTGTTGATTATATTTTAAAGAATATTCAACAATATTAAAGATTATTATTACAAAGCAATGCTGCAGCAGGAAAGTAGTGCTTGTAAATATGCCCAGGAATCATAATCTTGGAAAAAAACATTCTCCTGTGGAAGAAAGGCACTGAACAGATAATTATAGCAACAATTTCTTGCAAATGAGATAAATGCAATGTAGGAGAATCATGGGGTGGTTTGCGAACAGGAAATGGGGGACTGGACCTAATCTTGGTGGGTGAGACCGTAGAGAGGAAGACTTTACTGCTGATTTGAGATTTAAACTGAGATTGCCTTTGTTTGGATACACAGTGCCTCCATCCATACCAAAGCAATTTCTATGGGATTCTGCCTAGGCAGGACTCTTGTCTGTTTTATTCATTGATGTAATTCATTACCCAGAAAGGGGCCCTGTTAAATCATTTTTTTTTCTATATTTCTAGATTTGCTGTGGAATTTTCTGAGCTGTTAGCAGTTCAGAAATCCAAAGTGCCTGTCCCATCCTTTATAATTTCCTAGGTTCAGAGTAGAAAAATCACAAGGATTAGAAATTTTTAAGTTCAGTGGTTTTCAGGCTATCTTGAATTAGGACCTGTGGTTTATACAGAATCAAAATGAAGTCTGAGGGTGTAGTTCACTGGTAAAGCACTGGGTTAGCACATGCGAGGCCCTGAATTTGATCTCTAGCAGCGCACACATTCTACCTGCACATTTTTCTGTTAAAATGGTATTTTACTGAAGATGGCGAGCAGAGGGATAAAACTGAGGCTAAAAATTGTGAACCCACAGAACTGCTCCCAGATCCTATGCTGTAGGTAATAAGATGGCAGTGTACACTAACTCTAATTTCTTAAGTGAGTGATAGATGGTGAATTAAGGAGTAGAGATTAGTGCGTACAAGAAATAAGGTTAGAGTAGGGAGGAGCCATGCAAATTCTGGAGACAAACTTGTTTGTGTGTGCCTAGAAGCTGGTTTAGTGCCTAGAAGCTAGTAAACATTCCACTTAAATGAGTGGTTGAATGGTTTATTCACAGGTCTAAGATGTGCTTTGTATCTACAATCTTATACAAGGACATGGATTGATTTATACTGCTCTTTCTAGTCAAAACTTAAGTGTTTCTGCTGTGATTTTTCCTACCTCAGTTCCCTGAACATCAGCCTGGGCGGAGAGGGTGAATTCACAGTGAGGATGGCCCTCTTCCAAGACCAAAGCTACAGAAGTCCTTATGAAGGGGATGTAGTCGTGCTGTCGGTGGAGTCCACACTCTATGTGGGTGCCATTTTGGAGAAAGGAGACACCTCTCGGTTTAACCTGTTGTTGAGGAATTGCTATGCCACCCCCTCTGAACACAGGGATGACCCTGTGAAATACTTCATCATCAGAAACAGGTATCAGGTGACTCTGGGATGCTTTTGTGGGGCTTAACAAAGTTTGAGAGAGAATTCATCTCATCCATATTTGGTGGTTGTGCACATTGACTTGCCTTTTAGGGAAAAATTCAGTATTCCATATTGTTACCTTATCCTCTGACCCAGGAATCTGACTCCTGATATTTTAGTATAAAGTATTAAAACAAAATAGATGGACAGAATAAAGGAGTGACAATTATTTTCCATTCTTTTTAGTGTTGGCAATAGGTCATTGTTCAAAAGAGGATAAATTAAGTAATGACATTGGTCAACGTGAAAATGACATGACAAATATTATAGGACAAAGTATCATTCAGTAGCATTAAATGACAAAAACAAAGGAAAATGAATCACTGTAGATTATGATTCAAAGCATAGTAATAGTATTTGGTGATATTTATCTTTGAGCCTAGCTATATGCCAAGCTTTGTGCTGAGCAATGTATACAGTGTCTCATTAAGAGTCCCTTCCACTCCACAAGATGAATATTATTGTTTCCATTTTTCCATAAAAACACTGAAACTGGAGCTGGGGAGATAGCTCAGCAGTCTAAGCACCTGCCTGGAAAGCTCAAGGACCTGAGTTCAGTCGCTGGTACCACAGGCCATGCCAGAGCCAGAAACCTGGGTGTGCTGTGCTGGCCACCAGAATTGAGTGTGGTGGGGCACGCCTGTAATCCCAGTGCTGGGGAGACTGAGACAGGAGGATTACTATGAGTCTGAGCTGCATAGTGAGACCCTGTAACAAATAAACAAACAATCAAATAAAGATTTAAAAAAAGAGCCCTGAGGCCACTCAGAATACAGTTCAGTGCACAAGCACCTGCCTGGCAAGTATAAGGTCCTGATTTCAGTTCTTGGTACCAAAACACACACACACACACACACACACACACACACACACACACACACTCCAGATTATTGAGACTCAATGAAGTTAAGTAAACTGCCTAGGATCACTTAGCTAGAAATTGGACTGTGCTGGATGTAAAATCAGTCTTTCTCATTCCAGAGACTGTGTTCCAAGTAATTTACTGCATATGAACTTAAGGAAGAGATAGAGGAATACAAAGTCTGTGATGCCACTTTGGAGGAGCTGGGGGTGGGCTGTGTAACTCTCTCAATTTCTCCATGGCTGGCCTTTTTCCCCCTTCCAGCTGCCCGAATCAACATGATTCCACTATCTCTGTGGAGGAGAATGGGGTGTCTGCAGAGAGCCGGTTCTCAGTACAAATGTTCATGTTTGCTGGAAATTATGACCTAGTTTACCTGCATTGTGAGGTTCATCTCTGTGATTCCCACAGTGAACAGTGCCAACCTGTGAGTGTCTTTTTGAACTGGACAATGCAGAGTCTGGCATGAAGCCTGGCAACTGACAGCCTCCCCTATGTGTCTACTGGGAAACTGGGTAGATGGATGGATGGATGGATGGATGGATGGATGGATGGATGGATGGGTGTGTGGATGGATGGATGGGTGTGTGGATGGATGGATGGGTGGATGGATGGATGGATGGATAAAGGTAGATCAGTTGCACTTAAATTCTGTTATATAGTAACAGTTCTTTGTCCTCACAGTCTTGCTCAAGAAATCAACTCCGCAGTGATGTATCAGCCCTTGACCTGGCCCAGGTTCTTGATTTGGGACCCATCACTAGGAGAGGTAAGTGGCCGAGTCTTCATGAGAAGGTCGGTTGGCCAAGGGCTGACAGTTAACACAGATGCCCAGGATAACCAGCGCCAACTGCTAGGGACTTTCTGCCTCCTCCATCCAGTCTCCAATGTGACTCTATGTCTCTCCCTGACATGGAATGGCATTGCCATGTGTGGTGGGGCCTCCTCTGTACTGGAGTCCTGGCTTAGCTCCCAAATTCAGCCATTTGCTTAATCTTTTCATGACTGTGTCTGCTTTACAAGTAAGAAAATAAGGCTAACAGAGATACAGGGACTCTCTAAGGTAACTCTACCCATGAGTGGCAGCAGTTAGGATTGAACCCAGCCCAATCTGATTCCAAAGCATGTGGCCATTTTCTTATTCCAACTGCTTAAGGTCCCTATACCTCAGTCCTTTTTAGGTGAAGTCTAAGTCCTAACTCCTACTTAAGTGTACAGTGTCCTGAGGTGTGATATAAGGATGCTTTCTGGCTGCTGCTCAAATTTCCACCCATCATACATACGGGTTCACAGTACTGTAGTGATTTTTATTCCCACCAGAATGGAGGAGTGAACAAGCCCCCCCCCCCAAAATAAAGCAATGTTTTGCCATAAAGAAATTATGATGTAGTAATATTAATAATTATCATCATAGTAATACTTTCTTTATGTCTGGTACTCTGCTATACACCTCCATACGAATTAACACTCTGAGTGCCCACAACAGCCCCAGGAGATAAACACCACTGCCACTCCCACTTTATGGATGAGCAGATGGAGGTTGCCTCAGGGTCCAGACTTGCTCTGAGTTGGCCTACCTCTTTATGGATCCTTCAGTTTGAAGCCTCACATACGGTTCAAATCCTAGCTTTGCTCTTAATGGGTGAGGTCAGCTTGGCAAGTCACATCACTTGTCATTGCTGAGTCTCAGTCTTCTCACTGTCAAGTGGGGATGAAGATGCTTCTCTCGCAAGTCTGATAGGAAGGTGAAGTTTAAGCTCTGTGCGATGCTTTTAGAAAAGTACCTCCCAGCTAATGATAGATGCTTCCACCTTGAAGATGGTCCATGGCTTTGGGGCCAGGCCCAGGAGGGTTCTGCAGCATCCACAGTACCCTAGTTACAAGAGCATGACTGAGGATGCCCTCACCTTCTCTCCTTGTCCATAGGAGCCCAGGCTCTTGGCGTCATGAGCGGAGCTCCTAGTATTGCAGGTACGTTGCTTCCTTTTGCCTTTCCCACAACTATCCAACTCCCTCTCCTTCCCCTTTTCAATCCTGTGCACATTGATTCAGCTTCTATGCACTAGGCCCTGTGCTGAGAATGGTGGACACAGAGAATAAATCAAACCCAAGACTCACTCTGAAGTGTAGCAAAGGAGATAGTCATTTAAAAACAAATACTCATCAAGTCTCCCAGTGAGCCAGGCATTATACTAGGTACTGAAGACGCAATAGTGAGCCTCGGGGGTAGGACAGACCACGTACTGGTCCTCCCAGAGCTTATATCCCAGAGTGGGATATAGACAATAAGAAATAAACAAAAAGCCATTTGGAAGTAAAAGATCATGTGATAATACATTGCCAGTATGAATAATAATACCTTATATCAAATAGATGCTCCTCTCTCCCACACAGAAATGAAATCTAGAGCCTGAAAACCTAAGGCTGTGTGTGCGGCAGCACCAAACAGTCATCAGTGATCCAGGCTCCCTCCTGTTTACCCCTTCACCTTTTTTAAACTGTGGCCATCACCGCCATGGTACAAGATGGCAGCTAGAACCCCACCCTTCGTGCCTGGATATTAGGATGGAGGGAACATGGAAGAAGAGTGTTAAGGGGAATCCTGGGAAGCTGGCACCGTCTTAGACTTCCACTTTCATTTCTTTGGCCGGTGCTTAGCCATCCATATGTCCACACCTGGTTGCAAAGGAAGCTGGGAAATGCTATCTTTTTCTGGGTGGCCACAGGCCTAGCCAGTGTTTGATGCTTTTATTATTAAGGTAGGAAAGAAACAGGAATATAAGGATAGATAAGATTCATAATAACCATCAAAGGAAGTAGTATTTAACTAAATGAAAGAAAGAGGACAGAGGGACAAGGGGAATTGAGCCCCAGGTGGAGGGAACTACTGTTCATCACACAGTTAATGCTGGCACAGGAGAAATAAACAACAAACAAGTAGATAGCAGGAAGGAGCATGACCAGTGGGCTGTATTGGGAACTGTCAGGAAAGACTTTCCTCAGGCAGTAACGTCTGAATGGGGCTTTGCTGAATGGCTTGGAGTTAAACAGCACACAAATAGAAGGAAAATATTTTGGATAAAGTAGAGAGCATATAGTTAAGATTTTGCTATTCTCCAAAATGACCTGTATTAGAGAAGTGAAGAGTTTTTTCCATCCTTCATCCCCAACTAGGGTAGAATCACCTTGAAGTTGGGACATCAGGTCATCTTCATTTTCATCTGTCCTTCTAGTTAGCCACAGTGTGGTTTCCCTACAAAGCCTCCCGAATTTCTAGGGTGGGCTGAAATTAGGGTCTTCTGGAAGAGGAGGAAATCGATACGCTGCTGTGATAACAGAGCACCACAAGAGGGCCCTTGTTTTCCTAGTCCGCTATTTCCCGGTCATTTCTGATTTTACAATTAATTAAGCATAAAGGCTTCATCATTATAATTCGGTTTGATACAACAATTATAGGTTTCTGGAAGCTTGGCTTTTCCTCTCCCCACTTGTAGGATGTTTTGGCAAGTATCTTTGAACTCTGGAGGAAGGGGAGAGTCTGTACTTCGGTAGTGCTTTGGGACTGGGGCCTTGCGTCTCCTACGCCCTGGAATAGGCCACCATCACCCCAGATCTCTGCCCTTCCGTAGCATAAGTAGGTGGTGATGTGCCAAATCGATGTGATCATGGCTCTCCCAGATCTAAAAGTCTAATCTTTCAAACCATTGCTTGTGTATGGTTTACCATGTGCTATACTTTGATCTAAATGCTTGAAAAAAAAGTGGGCCACTGCAGCCTTACAAAAATCCTATGAGGTGCTGTTAATATTTCTGCTTTGCATACAGGAAAACTTAAGCACAGAAAGATTTTATTTCTGGCCTGAAACTTCCCAGATCACTGTAGACCTGAAACTGTAAGATAATTATTCAGGACTCAGAGGCAGTGCTTTTTAGCTCCTGTGTCTTGCTACCTCTTCAGTATAAGTCATTCCAGCTGCTGTGACAAATGATCCCAAATCCTCTGTGCTTTTACCCAACCGTGTAATTTCTCCCCCGATCATGAAAGGGTACTGTTCTGTTACTAGATGTCACTAGAAACTCAGGCTCCCATTGCTTCTGGTAACTTCTGGAAACTCCACTAATCCACTATCCCTTGTGAGGCCTATCTTGAGTTCTGTGCACTTGGTCCCAGGTAATGAATGAGAAGGCATAAGGAATTATATTAGAGGTTTTCAGGACCAGGCTACAAATGGCATAGATAACTTCCATCCAGATTTGATTAGCCAATTTCAGCCATGTGATTCCAGCTGCCTCAGTCTTCCCTTCTGTATCTTTAATTTCTGAAGAAAATTAAAATGGTGCTGCAGGCCTATGGGGAGAGAGAGAGAGAGAGAGAGAGAGAGAGAGAGAGAGAGAGAGAGAGAGAGAGTGTTAATGGGTGCTTAGATAGCCTGGTCTCTACTACATGATTTTCAGGGATTATAACCAGACCAGATGAAGCAAATGACAAGGAAGACAGCTAGTGTTTGTTACTAAATCCCACAGTCCAAAACATGACTGTCATGTCGTTTGTGTTTCAGGGTTCCTGGTGGCCTGGCCCATGCTCCTCCTGCCTGTCCTCCTGGAGTGGCTGTTCTAAAAGCACAGATGGGTGTCTGGCCTTGAAGTTTGGGTTCTTCACCCCAGCAGTCCCTCCCATCATGAGGGAAGAGCTTGCTCCTTCTTTAGTACTCCACACCTTTGTATTCCATTTTTCCTCATGGTGGGGTTCTGTCAGCTTGTCCTGGATGGCTTTTTCATTTTCTGATTCACTAGTAGGAGCTTGAAAGCAAACGTGCTGAGTGCCTCTGTGGCACTGCTCTTCAACAGAAGGCCGTGTTGATAACTGCAGGCAAGAGGCTTCCAGTGGGCTCACAGAAGAGGCCCATGAGCCCTCCCCAAGCACTGCCTACCTCAATGTGGATGTATTGAATGGGCCAATCCTTACATTCCCTTTGCCTCCTCTGGTGTGTTTCCTTCCTGGTCTCAACAGTCGGTGTGGGCACAGGGGGGTACTTTGGGAGATTCTCACAGGGAAGGTGAGTCCTGTTGCTCCTTTGTCCCCCACTCCACCATAATGACTCAGGTCTAGATGTTGGAGGAACTGATTGACTTTGAGGCAGAGGCCTGTGAATTCCAGAAAATAACTCTTATAGAGTGTTGCACACTTGCTGTGGAGGGGAAAGGAGGGAACCTCAGCAGAAAAATCAGAAAATACACTGATTCTGTTGTGAGACCACAGCAGCAAAAAATTGGAGATAGGCAAGAGTCCCTCCCAAATAGCTGTAGCAAAGAACTTTTAAAGATTCCATCAGGAAAGCCTCCCTTTCCCACATTATACATTATATCTCTCCAAGCTGACCTCAGGCAAGTGTCAGGAGCCAGGGCAGGACCCATATATCTGCTGGGGGGAGAATTTGTCATTTCCTACTTTGCCAGAGAGGGTCTGGTTGCAAGAAATAGAAACCCACTGAAACTCAGGCAAAAGAGGAGTTAATTCTAAGCATGTAAGATAAAAAAATCCAAGGGAAATAAATACATCCTGGCTGCCTCAGCACTGGCAATGGGGCCAGGAAAACCACAGGACACCAAAGTTTGTCTGATTTTTCCACCTGTCACTCTTCTTGAGGTTGCGTAGTTTGTTGTACCTGCTGGTTTTTGTGTCATCTTTTTCCCTCCCATTTCAGCTCTTCCTGTTCATCCATTCCTTGATTGAAAGAGACATTCCACATCTATTCCCAAATTAGGGACGAGCTGAGGTGGACTAACACCTTTCTTTCCCAATCCAGATTGACCCACAAGGCTCTAAGTTCATTGCTGGGGTCAGATTACTTCCTCTGAGCCAAAGACCCGAGGCCTGGTTTGTGGGACCAGCTGAGCCAAATACAGTGCAAGGGCTGACATGACAGAGCGAGTCACAACTTGGACATCCCACAAAGCCCCTGGGATATTGGCTTCCTTCAGAAGGGGGTTCCCCTTTCCAAGTGAGTTAGATGAGTCATACCTTCTACATTCCCAGGGAAACAGAGTGGAAGGAGAAGGCATGAAAGAGAAATCAGGAGGGTCCCATCATTCCTGCCTGCTAAGATTCTGCTGCTTTCTTCTGTAGAATAAAATGGGTTGGGCTAAAAGAAGGTTGTCAAACATTTTAAACACAGACCCCTTCCTTTACATATAATTCTATATGGACATCCAACACATAAAAGTCAAAAGTAAATAGAGTCTACCTAATGTCAGGTACAGGGCTTAGTTTTTCCAGTCTTCCATTCCTCAGACCTCCAAACAACTCCACAATAATTACAGTGACAGGGGCTTGGAACTTCTTGGGACATATGAGCTTGGATATCATTTCCATAATAAAGTGCATAGGAGTCCACATAAGTATAGCTAACCCTGCCTATCTGTCTGTCTGTCTGTCTGTCTGTCTGTCTGTCTGTCTGTCTATCTATCTATCTATCTATCTATCTATCTATCTATCTATCATGCATGTATTCATGCATCTTTACATCCATCCACCCACAATCTATGTATCTATGTATCTATGTATCCATCCATCCATCCATCCATCCATCCATCCATCCATCCATCCGCCCACCCACACATCTATCTGACTATCACTAAAGCCCTCTCTATCACATAGTTATCCAGTTAACACATTTGCCCACCTCTGGGGAAAATACTGTCTGAGTAACAATCTCTAGCTAACCAGTCCTGGTCATTCATTCAGTCAACACCAATTTGCTGGGCCACTGCTACATTCTAGGTCCAGGGGCCCAGGTATGATAATGAATAATACACAACCCATTCTCTTAAAAGGATCACAATCCCAGTGGAACATACAAAGAGACTCACAGACAGACTGCACTCAAACATATAAATTTGCTGACCCTCAGACCCAGGTCCTTGTGTGCATCAATAATTCCAACCACACTAACAAACATTAACAGACACATATACCAAGCTCATAGGCTTAAGAGCACATGAACACACATACACACACAACCTCACAACTATACACAGATACATATTCTCATATACAACTGCATTTGGACCCTGCATCCAAGCCACTCATGTATTTATAACTGTGAAGAGTTTTGTAACAATGGTTTTTTACATACTCTATTAGGCATTTTTTTCGAGTGCATTTCATCATTCAACCACCACCTTAGATGTTAAAGATTAGTATTATCCCCAGTTTAAAGATGAATAGACCAAGGCTCAAACTAAATAATCACTTACTTAGAGGTCAATAGCTTTTAAGGGATGAGGTTAGGACTTGAACCAGACTTTGGAACACATGATCCTAACTAACACTGGGTTACACCTCTGTTTATATGACACAAGCACCTATGAACACATACATATATACATATGAGGAATGATGAACAAAAGTGGTGAATATTTAAGTTTAAAAAATGAATTATAGTAATAGATATGTCCCCACTAACTTCCCTCCTTCCCTTGGAGCCCACTTGTCCCAGTGTTCTTGCCACTTTCCGAAGCAGGCCTGGAAGTCCTTTTGTGGGTGTTTTTAGTTGAGCTGTTGTGGCTGCTTGATGTCCTGAATCAATTCAGAACATTTGCCCTTCATGGTCATTTTGACTGTGAGGGAGAGTCAGAAATTACACAGTGCCAGATTTGTGAATCAAGTGGATGGGAACACTGCCCCGTAGCGTGCCTTTCTGTTGGATGGCCCTCAACAGCAGCATATGCTACATTCAAAAAATCACACCTTATAAAGACACTTATGAAAGTGGCAAAACAATGTGATCAGTGTGTAGAAATATTTTAAGGGGATTTATGGCAATGTGTCTTTTGCTGTAATACTTTTTAAGGTACATTCATTATATGCATTGGTCCCACTTTGGATATGTATGCAGGCCCATGGGAACATATACAGATTGACATTCCTATGTAGACAGACATAAAAATTTGGCCACAGAGCCCCTCACATATACACAGACATTGACATTCGTGGACATACAGACACTGACATACGTATCCTGACACACATACATCATTGTTTAAATGCATACATGTTCATAGATCCTCATATAATAGAGAAATGAATACAGGAACATTCACAAGTGATGCTCATGACTGACACACACTTATATACACAAACACACACATACCTATTTGACACAGGACTTGGATCTAGCATCTTGTGAGCCAAGCAGGATCTAGCCATGTTTCTTCTCTTTCACTGGCTTTCTTCTCCCCTGACTGCAAGTGCTACCTATGTGGGCACTGGGCAAGGAAAAGTCCTGGACCCAGCATGGGGAAGTTCTGGAGCAGACAGATGATGGGAACAGCGAGAAGGAACCAGACCCACCTCAGAGGCAGTGGCCTCTAAGTCCCAAGGGAACATCTGCCAGAAGCTGGTGGAAAAGCAAGAGGTGTAACACTGCACACCCTTGTAGAAACCTAAAGTTCACTCAGGGAAAAAAATCACATGTAGATTCCAGGCAGTGAAGGCTATGGAAAGTAGGACTGAGGCAGACACTTCCTCACGATGCAGAGAAGGAGGAGCTCAGCCTAATCTCTGGGAAGAGGGGAGCCTCAACCCCAGTGAGTTTAGTCCTTTTATTTTACAGACTGAAACTGAGGTCTAGCAAAGAGCAGGGTCATTCTTAGCCCCTCACAGAGCTGTGACCAGATGAGCTCAAGGGAGGCAGTGAGAAAGGTGGGGCCAGGTATCTGAAGGAAAATGGGATGCCAGAAAGGCAGATCACCCAACCTAAAGCAGTTCATCATTGCTGCTCTTTCCTTTCCTCTCCTCCAACCTCTTTCTTCAACGTGGGCCAGGAAACTACTGTCTTATTTTCCTTTATCATCCTATTAGATTTGCCTCTCTAAAACTCTATTAAAGCCATCCACTTTCTGCAACCCTGTTGATCCTGATCTTTTCTAAGTTGCCGTCGTCTCTTAGCTGGTCCCTGTAATAATTGCTTCCAAACCACTCTTTTTCTAGGAGCCCACCCTCCTCTCTGTCCTGCAATTCATAAGCACTTAAGGCAAAAGCTACTTATTTTTTCAATTCCTCCACCAGCTCCTTGTCTTCTGTGAGATGAGATCTGCCTGTCTACAAAGCAGACCAAGTCCTCCACCATCTGAGCACTGTCTGACTTCCCAGCCTACCCCCGTGCTTATCCCCTTCAGAACCCAGTTCTAGCCTCATGAGGTTTCTCATCCTGAGACTTTTTTTTTAAGTACTGGGGATTGAACCTACAGCCTTCAGACTGAGCCACATTCTTAAATCCTGTTCTTATTTTTAAATTTTTGAGACAAGTTTTCCCTATGTTGCCCAGGCTGGGCTCTAACTCTCAGTCCTCCTGCTGCAGCCTCCCAAGTGCAGAGATAATGGGCCTGTCCTACCAGCCTAATCTGAGATTTCTATTTCACCCCATCATACTGGAGTGCTAACTTCAGTCTACATTTGGGAATAATTTCTCTTGTGACTTTCCTGCCCAATGTAGAGCTGATCACCCTCTACTCTGTGACCCTTTCTCTTTGGACTTTTATTATCATGTGTATATTCTGCAATTGAGGTGATCTGTTTTTACATCTACCCTAGTCTCTGTCCTCTACTCAGAGGATTAGCTCCATGTGGGCGGGGATTGTGCCGTATTCAAGTGTTATTAGCTGAATAAGTGAAGACACAAGTTACTTAATTTCTTCTTTATTCTTTGACCTTCTACATAATCATGCTGTTGTTTTCTGGAAGATAAAAAATCTTAATATCACAAACAAAGGAGACTTTTTCACTTGGTTAATTATGACAGAAGAGCTAAATCAGAACATGAAATAGGAATTCTGGGCTATATCCCAGATATTCACTGGCACCCCATTGTCGCTGACTTTACAAATAGTCCATTTCTTTTCCTTCAGTTCCCATCTCTTGTTGTTTCTAAGGTTTTTAATTAAGCAGTTAAATATGTGTGTGTATATGTATGTGTGTGTGTTGTACCTGTGTTTCACTGAAGGGGGCTGCGATGGAGCCAATATAGTGGTTATTGCTGAGCATAAGCTCAAGGGCAATCACTATTAATGACAAGAAGAGAGGAAAAATGTAAGCCCATAAAAAGTATGGGAGACTAAGCTAAGTCCAGAACGTGATGCATACAGTAGCCAGCCAGCAATCCAGCCTGAGAAAACTTGACAAGCTCTCTAGTGTGCAGGGAGATGGGGATGCAGCTCCGGGATAGAGCGCTTGGCTAATATGCCTGAAACTTTGGATTTGATTCCCAGCACCAGAAAGAAGGAGAAGAAAAGCACTTGTTTGAAAACCAACCAAAATACCAAATTCTTGGCACCCCAGAGTTAGCATTCCTTCCTAGAGTACCTCATAGCTTTACTGGGTTGGCAAAAAGGGAATGGGACCTATTTGTACGTACTTTATTTCAGTGATTAAATCTGGCTCCATATTGTTGAGAAGAACCATAATTTAAAAAGGCTGAGCCTTGGACTCTGTGGCCCAGGCCATGTATGCAAGTATTTTCCTTCTTACATGCAGAAGGGAGCAGCTACCCTAGCAATTCAGTGGTTAGAGAAATGAAGTGCCAAAGGCGGTGAAGTCACTTTGCAATGCATAAAGCATCAT